GGTTAAACCCAGGTTTAAAGCCTTGCAGGGCAGCCTAAAGCCCACTGCCAACATTAAGACAGAAAAAAGAAAGAAAATAACAAACCATCAGTTCAGCTGTTTGAGAAAATGTGGGAATCAGGAAATTATCTATAAACCAAACTGAACGATTGTTGTTCTCTACTTAAAAAAACACTTTAGATTTTAAAATGGAAACATTTTCTATTTTTTTATTTAAAAAGTCATTATATAACATGGATGCATAAACACCTGAATTTTATTTCAGTGTTAAATTATGTTTAAAGTAGCAGATCACTAGAAATGTCCCCGGACCTTTACTAGTTGATGAATTTCTTTATTTGGACCCCAATGATTTTTAATTATTTGTGCCTGGTCTAAAATATTCATGATTTTAGGACATTAAGATCTAAAGAGAAGCATCATCTCCTGGTCAGACCCTGTAATTCAGTGACAGGTTGGAGTCAGAGTAAAAAAATAAGCACGCCCCGGAGACGGCCAGTGGCTGGAAGTTGGAGGGGATTTGGCTGGGTACGGCCATTTAAATGGCTGCTACTGTAGATTCTTACTTCTGCAGCCATGTTTAGGAAAAATATCCCTCATTATGTAAAAACACCAACATTTCTCAGTTTGATTCATCAGGACTCAGAAACAACAGCAACATTTAATCCTGTTTGATTCTAAAGTCTGTGGAGAAACCTCTGACCTTCGGTTCAGTTTATTTCTAAAGCACCAATTCACACTTTAGTTACCTTCTAAATCAGGACTGAATCTCTTTGAGTTTGAAAGGAACTGCCGTCATCTAGTGGCAGCCAGGGGAATTACAGTTTTATCCTTTCCACCAGAGATGATGATGAAAACCTGTGGATGTAATAACAGAGGAGAAGCAGTCCTGTTTCAGTGAATGTTTCAGTGAATGAAAGCTTCTTTCTTTGAAAAGTTGCATTAATTCTGGAAATGAGCGAACAGAAACGCTTTCAGTCGCCTTTATTGGTGAAATGATGCATCTTTCTTTTAGCTCCATGTCTGAACAGATTCCTCACAGCTTCATCTTCTCCCCTAAGATCAGTTTTTATGTTGCTGCGTTCCTGTTCAGTTTGCTTTAATCCGACATTGTTTGACGTCAGACTGCCGTTCTTCTCCAGAGCCTGACCAGGAACACGGCCATCGAGGTGGCGAGCACCGTCAAGGCGCTTTACAACGAGACCGAGTCTCTCCTGCTGGGACGCGTCTCTCTGGTGAGCAGGGTTAAGATCCTCCTTTGGTTTTTAACGCTGATCCTTTTCGTTAAATGGGTTACCTCCTCTATCTCCCAGCAACTGGACCCACCAGAGGAGGAGCAGCTGTCCAGCGCTCTGCAGAGCCTGGATGTTGAACTGGGCAAACTGGGAGAAATCCCCTGGCTGTACCACATCCTGCAGCCCAACGACGAGGAGGTAAGAAGGCTCAGCTGATCAGCGACCAGACCTGCCTGCTCATAAGCACAGGGCCGGAAACGCAGACAGCACCCAGAGCACAGCAGGAAGTAGGCGCTGCCTTTAAGGGTCGTTGGAGCTTCTAAAAGTGGAACCATTCAGTCCAGTTCATCCAAACAGAGACAGACGCTTCAACTGTTAGGGTATCGCCCCTCTTTAGTTGTAGAAGGTTGAAAACTTTACCTCCACTTTAAACTCTAGGAAAAACTCTGAAAGCAAACATTATTTTGGAGAATTTTATCACTTATTTGTTTTTAAAAACAAGGAAAATGTTAGGGAAGCATAAAAAGCAATAAGAACCAAGAAGCCCAAGAGATTCTCTAATTAGAGAGCTAATCAGAGATTATTTGGCTAATTCCACATTTTTTGCAATAAGAAGTAGTAGCCATTAAAAGTTTTCCCACTTTCCTTGATGGGTCCTTGGCTTGTCCTTGGCTGGTCCTTGGCCGATCCTTGGCTGGTCCTTGGCCGATCCTTGGCTGGTCCTTGGCTGGTCCTTGGCTGGTCCTTGGCTTGTCCTTGGCCGATCCTTGGCTGGTCCTTGGCTTGTCCTTGGCTGGTCCTTGGCTGGTCCTTGGCTGGTCCTTGGC